AGGAATGTCTTGGGCAGCCCACACCTCACAGCCTGAGCCTCTCTGCTGGTCCTAATTCCCCCACGTCCTGAGCCACAGTGAAGATCTCTGGCCCCCAATTTCTCTCCATTTTCTGGATCAGCAACAAATCTACTTTTGGTAACAAGGTCCAAGTATGCCAGAAAGGCCACAGAAGATGCCCCCATGTCCCTCCACCCCTAGCAGAGGGTGACAGCAGCCCTGCTGAGCTGGGAAAGGAAAACAACTTGCAGGAGCTGAAACTCCAGGTTTGGAAGGACAGAGCTGAACTAGGATTTGTATCAAGTATCTCCATTTCAGGGCCTAGTTTTACCCAGCAGAGTATCTTTTTCCAAGCAGTTTAGGATGACAAGGTCAGTGCTGCCCACAGACGTGCCAAGGGGCTGCCAGAACAGATGGATTTGAAGAAGTGAGATTTTTCATTAGGGCAGATCTTAATTTTATCTTTTTTTTTTTAAACCCACCCTTTCCCCTTACACAACAAGACCAGTTTGGAGTTGCTTAAATGAGCAGCGTTGCTCAACCTGCTCCAAACTCCCTATGAAGCCAAATGCACCATTTGCCATTTCACAGCCCCCCCTTTTCCAACCAGAAAGCCACGTGCTTTGCTCTGCAGGCTCACTGGTCTCCCAGATGGATGGCCAGCCTGCCAGTCCTGCTGGGCTTTTAAGCCAAATTCACAGGAGAAAAGTAAGAAGAAGCCTAGCAATCAGGGAGAAGGTCAAAAGGAGGACCTGGAAATCACTGCTTACAAACCAAACCCAACACGGATCACTACACCTGAGGGGGAAGCTCCTGAGCACAGAGGGGACACCAGCTCAGCATCTACCTGGGCTCTTGTTCCTTGCCTTTATTCCCAGAACTGCAAGCCAGCTCCTGGGAAGTCACCAGAGGCACATGGTGTTCACCTGATGTGGCAGGCAGCCTGTCCCTGCTGGGACACATTTTGTCTTAAGAAGATCCAGGGTGCAAGTCAGCTCAGCTGCAAGACCTCACCTGGGACAGGCTGGCTGGTGCCACACCAGGACTGATGGGGGACAGCAGCCGTTTGCAGTGCACAAAAGCAGCTCTTTCCCAGCTAAGTACACAGGTCCATCCTCTTCTTAAAAACCTCCTTGTTACAAAAGGCCTGATCCCAGGACCCAGCCAGCACTTGAGATGCCAGCTGAAGGCGACGGGCGCCAAGGACTGTCACCAGCTCACAGGATTTAGCTCAGGGAAACCTCTTTCCTGCCAAACCACCCGGCTCCTCGCTTCTCTCCTGCTAACCCTGGGGACTTCCCACTCTCAGAGCAGCATGTCAGACTCTCTGAATCACTTTATCTGTGGAAGAAGCAGAACAAAAGGCTGCGAGAGATAGGCGAGCAGGTCTGCAACAGCCACACCACTCAGTGTAGCAAACATCCTTTTCCTGGCATTTTGTTTTGCACCTAATTGAATCAGTCTCAGCCTGGCTAATGAAAGAGAGGAAGACAGTGGAAAATGTTCCTTTGTTTCTCCAGGTTGTGGAGCCCATCCTCCTCGTGGAAGGGCTGCAGGCTGCCAGCACTGCCCACTGAGCAGCCCATTGCTGGGAATGCATCAGGTGCCCCTTCTGCAAGATCCCCCAAGGCAGAGCTCCCCATGCCTGGCCAGTATCTAAAGGAGTAGAAATTGCACAGCAGCTGAGTTTCCCCTCTGCAAGTTTGCTCCCTTGATCTCTCCTGGCTGCATCCCACAAAAAAAGAAAGAAAAAAATAAAATGAAAAGGAAGTTAAGCAGGAACCATTTCCCATTGCCTCCCCTGCTCTGTCAAGGTGATGTCTTGTTGCAGTGAAACAGCCTCAACCCTGGTTTCTGTCCCTGCTCCCTCACACTCAGACCCAAGTGACAAGCAGATAGACTGGTTGACTCAATTTACAGCTCTGCAAACTCAGTCTGGCATGTGACAGTCACAGCAGCTTCTCTCCTTTTCAGACAGTAACAGTCACTCAGGACATCAAGCTCTACCCTCAGCAGCCCCCACATGCCCACTGTGCCTGCAAGGGGTCTGTGTCAACCTCCCTGGTGAGGGAGCAGAGCCCAGCTCCCCTCTGCAGCAGCCCCATCAGCAGGAGAAAAGGAAGTTGTGCTCAGGTTTGTCACTGCAGTTGATAAAGTAGCACTTGACATGGTCACAGGCTCCAGGAGACACCAGCGAGGTGGAGCAGACTGTGCTCATGAGCTGACTCAAAAGGAAGGTGGAAAGAGCTGCTGGTGGTGCTACTGGCCACCCACCCTACCCAGCAGCTGAGACACAGCTACAGAAATGAGCAGCCATGAAAGTCCGTTTGCAAATAGGAAATCTGGGGCAAACGTTTGTTTCCATCCCCTGACCAGAGCTCAGGTCTGGATGTCAAGGGTAAAGGTGCCAACTTCAGATGCAGAAATGGTCACAACTCCCCAGCCCACGCAAGAAGCAGAAGTTAAAACAAGTTAAACACAAGCACACCTTCTGGAAAGCCAATGTTCTACCACCTGTGAACATCTCCACTCAGCTCTTACCTCTCCTATTTTCACTCCTCATGTCCTGCTATCACTGCTAGTCCCTTCATTATCTACCTAGTGGCTTGATCCTGCTTATGGTGTTTGCTAGGAGACACCTGACATTTTGAAAAACTGACCCTAGATCAAAGACTCCAGAGACAAGACAATGTACTAGGAGCAAACCAGGAAGAAAAGGGTGACCTACAAGCAGCTGAACACCCTCCTGCACAGGCCAGAAAAGCCTTTATTAAAAAAAAAAAAAAAGGAGAAAGGTAGGTTAGATAACGCCCTTGACGGAAATCCAACTTCCTCCAAATGGACAAGTCCCTCATTGCATAATTTCCTTCTCCCTAGAATAACTTCATCAAGATTTGGTTTCAAATGTGGCCTTTCTAAACCACTGAGCTGGTGCCAAGCATCCCAACAAGAGAAGGAAGCAAACCTACAGGGAAAGTGAGCCAGCTTCCTCCAAAAGGCTGGGGAGGACACGCTGGAAGCTGAAATGGCACTGATCCATGAGAAGAGGCCAGGATGCACCATTGTCCAAACCTTGATGAAGAAGCTCCCCTTCCCCTCCCCACCCTCTTCCACTGCAAGATTGTGAAAGAGAAGTAATATTGCCACGATTAGCACAGAGGATGAAAGCAGCAGCTCACCCTGGTTTTGTAATCAGGCTATTAACTCTTGTCAGGTCCCAAAGCAAAGACAAATCCTTCATGTATCTTCAGATGTTTATCTCCACTCCCTCTTCACAGCAGAGAGCAATGGGAGACTGGAACAGGATCTGCTCCAAAGAGGGTCTTTGGAAACAAGTTTTGTTGCAGGCAGGGAAAGATGACCATCAGGTCATGGGTACAGAGCATCTCCTGGCCAGACATCTGTAGATGCCTCAGCACCCCTCCTCAGGAGCTGAGGCTGGTTTGTGATGCCTTCTGCTCAGCCCCATTACCAGGAACAAACCCCTGCACTGCTAAGTGCTCATGGACATCCCCTTGGGAAATGGAAAAGGGATTCTATTTGCCAGAAAAAGTTATCTTTGGCTACCCCAAGAAAGGACTTTTGACCCCCAAAATAAAGCCATTCTTGTCTACCTCAACTGCATCTTGATGCCAGAGCACAACAATGAAAGAGATCCATGCCAATCATCCAGCTGTGCCTCCTGTTGCACTGACAGCAACCCAGGATCCTAGTGGGAAAACAGTAGAGGGAAGGAGAGCTCCAGTGCAGAGACCTGCACAATCAGAAGTGAGCAAAAGGCTTCCCTCCTTCATCTCCACCCCAGTCCTGCCAGAAGGGAGAAGGGAAGATGAACACTGTGGCAGTGCTGAGGCACAGCTTTCTGCTGACAAACCTTTGGGGGGAAGAAATACAAAAAGACTCTGAGTGAGGAGGCATCAGAGTGAAGGAAAACCTCCAGGGATGTGGCATATGCTCTGCCCTCTACCCACCTGCACATCTAACTGTTCTCCTTTGGAAGGAGCCTGCTACAAACAAAGCTGAAGATTCAACTGGAAAAAGCAACAAATCCTCACAGATCATTAAATGAGGATGGAAAACAACTGGGATCCATGGGAGATAAGCACAAGATGCCCACCAAGACCAGTTCCTTGTAGCCCAAAGTCCAGGCTGCAGGAATCACTAGACCTTGCTGTGATATCTCCCCCTAGTCTGCTGGGATGAGGACAGGACTCCTTGTAAAGTCTGGATCAGAAAGGGTGACAGAGGTGAAGCACAGCAGTAAGTTCACCTTCCTGCAACCCTGTTGGACAGAGCTCCTCCATCACTCTGAAGGGACAATCCTGGGAAGATATCCCCACAGAATCTGGATGAGAAGGTGTGAAGCTTTACTGACAAAGCAGGGGAAAGCCTTTGCACACAGAGATTCTGTGGCAGCCCATGCAGCAGGATGACCAGCAAGCACTGGTGTTTCCTCTGTGTGTTCCCATCCCTCACCACTACTCACAGCAACGATCCACCTACTTTTTTCCATGAGTGCTACTTAAGGCAACAACCACCCACAAATGACTATAGGGAGAGAGGTATGGAGGTGAGGGGATTTTCCCCAGCCCTCACTGGCACTTGGAAAAACCATCTTCATACAAGAGTTCCCCAGTTACCAGAACTGCCTTTCGATTCACACCTGAAAGTTTTGTGGGTTCACTCCCCACCCTTGGGGACAAATCACACTCAGATCATCTCACCCACCCTAGCCTCCAAAAAATAGGTTATTTAATAAGCTGATGACTAACCCTGAGAAATTCTCATAGGCAAACTGTCTCCAGGGATATTTATTACTCGAAGCAAGGTGGCCGTTTCCCCCCAGGGGCTCTGATCTACCACCACAGAAGGTCCCCAAGACAAGGGGTTCTCCAATTTCCATCCCCATTGGCAAAGCTGAACTCAGGAGGTTTGGATCTTTGAGCTTTTATCAGATGTTAAAACCTTTTGCCTTTCAAAGCTTACACAGCTTCTGCCTGGGTGTAGGATGGGAAAGGCAAAGCAGCCCTGCTTTAACTCAAGGCTGTGGAGCAGGACCTGGGCAGCAGGAAGGTCCCACTCCTTTCCATCACCTCAACAGCACAACTGGATCCCAGGTCAGAAAAGCTCCCAACCATCTTGCTGCTTATCTCTCCACTTAAAGCTTCATTTTTTCCTGCTGGTGTGGAAATACATCTCCCACATCACGTCCCTTTGCAGCATGTCCCAGCATCAGCCTCTGCCTGTGCCCCAGTGCTGCTGACAGGAGCCTTTGTTCTCCAGAGCTGTCACTGGAGACTGAAGCAGCACCTGGGAGCAGGCTCAGGGTGGCAGCTCCACGCTGCCCATCAGCACGAAAGGCACAAGGAACTTCCTCTACAACCTGGAAGTGCCCAAGCAACTTCCCACAGCAGGGAGAGAGTGTCTGCCCAGGGTGGAAAGGTCTCCACCAACAGACATCACACCTGTGAGGGCAAAGAGGTTGGGGAACACAGAGGAAGGTGAAGAAATGAGAGAAGGAGAAGAGGAGGAGGCACAGAGGCAGGTAGGCTGCCAAGCAGCAGGATGCAGGAGATAAGAATGCTAGGGAGGAGGTGGAGGGCTCTTTGAGATAGAGGGGTGGTTACCAGGAGCTGCTGAGGCGTGATGGAGTTGTCTGTGTAAATGCAGAGCTTCTCCACAGTCAGGGGCATGGTTTCTCGCAGCTTGGAAGCCAGGAGCATGCAGACTGCTCCCAGAAGCTGGAGGTGACTTTTCCTCATGGTGACTGAGGACAGGTAGCGATCCACGTAATTCATGGCCAGGGGGAAGACCTCTTCCTCACACTTCTGCTCCTCGCACACCTGACAAAAGCCAGCGACAAAAATAAAACATAAAAGGAAGTTTTTCATCAGCACAGGGCTCCCCAGATCCTGCCTGCACCACAGCTTCAAAGCTGCTGGTCATGCTGCTGTTTCACACTTCTCTGCAGGGCTCTGGAGGCAGCTTGGTGCTAAGGAATAAACGAGCTGCAGGTGTTAAGCCCATGATTTTGGTGGGATTACAGCAGCAACAGGTCTGACCAATACCTCAAGACTTCATCTTCCTGTGGAAAGTTGCAGGACTTAAAGAGTGCACAAACAAGACAAGTTGCTTTATTTATCCCCTGTTTTAATGCCCCCCATTGGGGATGTCTCCAGGCAGCTGTCCAGCAAAGCTGCCATTTTCTGCCCTGTGGGCTGGGGACCTCTGGAACAATTCCAGCATCTCTCCAGCTGGAGAGCTAATAGAGCAGGATGCACAGCCACGTCTGGTGATACCACCAGAAGTGTCCCAGAGACACAATGGCACAGCCCAAATCAATGGCTGAGTCCAAAAGTCCTCCTCCCTCAGCCACACTCATACCACAGCCACCAACAGAAACCAGGAGCTCTGCAGTTCAGCCCTCTGCCCTTATCTCCCAACCAGTATCAAAACACTGGTCATATTTAACTTCCTTTTCGCAACGCAACCATAAAAAAAAAATAACAAAATTGACGTTTGAACTATTTCCATGTCCAAGATCTCTCGGTCCAACTCCTCCTCCTGGAGTGTTGGACTGGTGGCTTTCCGTAGGATGGGAAAGGCAAAGCAGCCCTGCTTTAACTCAAGGCTGTGGAGCAGGACCTGGGCAGCAGGAAGGTCCCACTCCTTTCCATCACCTCAACAGCACAACTGGATCCCAGGTCAGAAAAGCTCCCAACCATCTTGCTGCTTATCTCTCCACTTAAAGCTTCATTTTTTCCTGCTGGTGTGGAAATACATCTCCCACATCACGTCCCTTTGCAGCATGTCCCAGCATCAGCCTCTGCCTGTGCCCCAGTGCTGCTGACAGGAGCCTTTGTTCTCCAGAGCTGTCACTGGAGACTGAAGCAGCACCTGGGAGCAGGCTCAGGGTGGCAGCTCCACGCTGCCCATCAGCACGAAAGGCACAAGGAACTTCCTCTACAACCTGGAAGTGCCCAAGCAACTTCCCACAGCAGGGAGAGAGTGTCTGCCCAGGGTGGAAAGGTCTCCACCAACAGACATCACACCTGTGAGGGCAAAGAGGTTGGGGAACACAGAGGAAGGTGAAGAAATGAGAGAAGGAGAAGAGGAGGAGGCACAGAGGCAGGTAGGCTGCCAAGCAGCAGGATGCAGGAGATAAGAATGCTAGGGAGGAGGTGGAGGGCTCTTTGAGATAGAGGGGTGGTTACCAGGAGCTGCTGAGGCGTGATGGAGTTGTCTGTGTAAATGCAGAGCTTCTCCACAGTCAGGGGCATGGTTTCTCGCAGCTTGGAAGCCAGGAGCATGCAGACTGCTCCCAGAAGCTGGAGGTGACTTTTCCTCATGGTGACTGAGGACAGGTAGCGATCCACGTAATTCATGGCCAGGGGGAAGACCTCTTCCTCACACTTCTGCTCCTCGCACACCTGACAAAAGCCAGCGACAAAAATAAAACATAAAAGGAAGTTTTTCATCAGCACAGGGCTCCCCAGATCCTGCCTGCACCACAGCTTCAAAGCTGCTGGTCATGCTGCTGTTTCACACTTCTCTGCAGGGCTCTGGAGGCAGCTTGGTGCTAAGGAATAAACGAGCTGCAGGTGTTAAGCCCATGATTTTGGTGGGATTACAGCAGCAACAGGTCTGACCAATACCTCAAGACTTCATCTTCCTGTGGAAAGTTGCAGGACTTAAAGAGTGCACAAACAAGACAAGTTGCTTTATTTATCCCCTGTTTTAATGCCCCCCATTGGGGATGTCTCCAGGCAGCTGTCCAGCAAAGCTGCCATTTTCTGCCCTGTGGGCTGGGGACCTCTGGAACAATTCCAGCATCTCTCCAGCTGGAGAGCTAATAGAGCAGGATGCACAGCCACGTCTGGTGATACCACCAGAAGCGTCCCAGAGACACAATGGCACAGCCCAAATCAATGGCTGAGTCCAAAAGTCCTCCTCCCTCAGCCACACTCATACCACAGCCACCAACAGAAACCAGGAGCTCTGCAGTTCAGCCCTCTGCCCTTATCTCCCAACCAGTATCAAAACACTGGTCATATTTAACTTCCTTTTCGCAACGCAACCATAAAAAAAAAAATAACAAAATTGAGGTTTCTCCTCACACAGCAGCAAATGTCACCATCCTCCTTCCAGCAGCAACTGCCTCGCCTGTCACAGCCCTGGGGACACCAACACACGTGGGCATGGCCACTGCCAAGTATCATCTGCTTCTTGACTGCCTCTAGGGCTGCAGAGGAGCAGGCTCCACAGCAGCATTTATCTAACCACCCTTCTCAGAATGGGAATGGCAGGAACAGAACAATAATAGCAGGGGAAAAAAAAAAAGCCAACCAACAACACCCAAACCCTTTAAAAAGCAAGATGTTCATGATTTCTTCTGACAGAACCAGGGGTGGAGAGCAGGGAGGCTCCATCCCAACGTCATTTGTCCTTTGCAGAACCGGCTCTTTCTTTTTTTTCTCTATTGAGGCTGTTCACTCTGACCATCTCCTGAAGAGGCCCATGAGATTTCCCCCACTGCACTGCATCCCGCAGAGAGCTGCATTCATTTTTAATTTAGGGAAGTAAACGCTAGCGATACGATTTCCCCCCTTTAACCAGGCGTTTTCAGCCCCCATTCAGGAAACGCGGAGCCTGCCGGCTGCACAGCTGGGCTCCCTGCTCTCCGCTTTTGGGGAGCAGGGAGCAGAGAGGGGTGCTGCTAGCAGCGTGGCAGCACGGCAGCAGGGCGGGGGAAGCACAGGCTGAGGGTTCGGGGGAGGAATCTGTTCCTCCTGCATGGAGCAATCACCTCTTCTAGCAGCAGAGCTGCCCACCCCACCGCCTCCACGTGCAGCCCCCTCCTTCCCACACGCATGAACCCCCCTCACACCGCAGACCTGACCTCCGGTGCAAAGCCAGACCTAGAATTCCAGGGCTCTCCTGCCCCTTGCATCGCCCCTCGCACCCCTGCACGAGGTCGGGCGCTCCCGTGCCCGCGCTCCCTCCCGCCGCAGCAGGAGCGCGCACGCCTGCAAGGAGCAGCGGCGGGGGCGGGGAGGGGGGCGGA